ACCAATTCTGAAACTTTATATTCGAATGTTAAATAACAGAAATAATGTATTATTTGCATTTCTTTTGTAATCACTGGCCCCTCTCCGCTACAAGGCACAAATAGGTTTATCAAAAATTTAAAGGAAAACCAACTCTTTTTTCAACATTTTCTAAAAGAACAATAAGGTAATAAAATTACGTAAAGCATTATAAGTGCGATTTATACATATTTATATACGTTTTTATTTTTACTTTATGTAATAACTAGATTTTAAATACATTTTTGGAAGGATACGACACACATGAGCAAATTTCATTAAATCATAACAAAATTAATTTTTTTTATTTAGAGACATAAAATCCCCATATATAAGAAATTAATTGTTTATTTTATATTTCTGCAATATATTAAAAGTAAAAGAATAGCTTGTACCTACACCTGTTGCTTTATGGAGTATTTTGTATTTAAACAAATAGTTTTTTATACTCAATATTCCATAAAAACCTAATCAAAATAAATTATAAGCATAAAATTATTATATTGTTTGATACGAGTATCTTACTGAAAATAAAGCGGAAAAATTAATTCGAGCAATAAAATGATGAATTTTTGCAATTAATATTTTTCATAATGCAATCGGTAAAATAAATAGCATATTAATAATTTAATGTGATAGTATGTTCATATGTGGATATGTAAACAAAGTTTTTTATTTACCGATTATTTTTTTAATATAAATACGGTATATTTGAGGCTCAGTCAGATAGGTTCTTACAATATTCTGTGTTTCGAAATGTCTCCTAAACTCTTCTCTCTCCTCTTCGTAGTTTTGGCTCTTATGGCTACAGGTAAACTTACATCTTTTAAGTATTTTAAGTAAGTTAAATACGGACATCGCAAATAGAATTAGAGTATCAATATGAGCATACAAAGAGCATTTTTGCCAATGATCGGATTTTTTCACACTATAATCGTATTTTTTCATGCTATGATCGGAAGTTTCATGATATATTGGATTGTTTCATGTCATTATCGCATTTTTTCATGCTAAGGTCGAAATTTATTATGCTATTTTGGGACATTTTCATGCTATAATCGGAATTCTTCCTGCTATGGTCGATTTTTTCATGCTATCGTCGAATAATTTAATGCCATGATCGGAATTTTTCATGCTAAGGTCCAATTTTTATCATGCTATGATCGAAGTGTTACATACTATTAACTTTATGAATAATTTACAATATGATAGTAACTGTAGATGATAATTTAGTTGTATAAAATCAAAAATCTGACACATTACCATTGGACGAAGGTGACATAGATATCATATCATGAAATATAGATGACATAACCATATGTCTATTCTTCTTCGCCTTGGAACTTCCGTCTTGGAATATATGGGAGATAAACGCCATATGGTTTCAACTGATGACGACATGTTACCTTAAAATTGATTTCGACTAACAATGCTGATTTTATAACTGCGGGGATGCCAATCGCTTCAGATTCTACAAAATATTTTGAAGAGCAAAAGTTAAAATAAATTGAAATTAAAAAAATTTCGGTTAATTTTGCAAACTTTTCAAACCTTCTGTCTTAACACAAAATGACTGTAACAAAGTGGGGTTTCATATAAGCATTTAAATTATTTAGAAGTTGCGGAGATAAGAATCCTGCAAATCGAATTTACTAATCAAAGTAACCTAAAGTGAAACATAACTGCTACTACTACTAGAAAATGATTATCCGCTATCCGAAACAATTTGATATATCTGAAAATCCGTTTATAGTGCACAAATGAAAAAAAAATGCAGAGTCCCTTAAGAACTTACATGTTAAAACAGATTTTAGCAATTAATGCTTATTTCGTTAATTATTAATGTGTATATTATTAAAGTGCTTATTGCGTTAATTATTAAAGCAATGAATGTGTTGCTGTACAGTGCATAAAATAATAATGAAATATTTTAAAAATTTTCTGATAATCAGATTTTTTACGCACAAAAATAAAATCTCAATGACTTGAGAGACGATTCTTAATTACGCTAAAATATTTGTGCATACAAACCTAAAAGACAAAAATAGTTTTTCTCTGAATATATTGTTCTCTTCCATGCCGCTGAACATCTAGAGAAACACCGTTTCGAAATAAATACATGTTTTCAGCTGCGTAATAAGGATAATCATATTTAAAATTATAAAAATTTGTCAATTATATTGAATAATTTTGTTGCATTTAGTTTCTATTCCCTTCTGTTTTGTTAAGCCTAGTTTGAATTCCACGTAGTGTTCTCTCTGTGCTCTATCTTTGATTAACAAACTAGTCTTATTTTTTAAAATTAGTGTATACATATGAATCCTAAATTATTTATCCTTTACGAATTGCTGTTTATACACTGCATTGTAAAAAAAATCCCAGTGTATAGCAGCGTCAAGCGTGCTTGCAACTTCTCTTCCCCAAAGTTGTAAAGTGAAACGCCAATCATTACTCTCGGATCTATACTCTGTTGCAAGTTAAGGCAACCCCTATGAAGAGAGCCTGTTTGCATCTTATGTGTACGCCAAATAGACGCATATCAAAATAGCTAACTCTTGAAATGACGTTGCACAGCTTCCTTTTTGCTTTCCTTCTTATTAACGACAATAATCAAGTAACAAGAAATTAGAATTAATAAAAATGATATCTGAAAATCGTTACAAATATATCTATTCGCAATGCCAGATAACAAATATATACTCTCGATTCGCATTTAACGAAACTGATGAAAGAATAATAAATTTTGTTTCTTGCAAACGATTTTCTTCTACCGTGAAACAAAAGTAAAAAATTCTTTATCTGACACTTGATTTGTTAAGGGCGTGTCAGCATTAGACGCGTCATTTTTAATGGCCCAATTAAATCCATTGCTCTTACAACGCCATATAATAATTTCTTTTATCAAAAACGAATGTTCTCCTTATTTATCGATATATGTCGTCAAGCCTATAAGTCCAATATGATTTTACGAAATCATAACCCTCTTATGATAATTCTATGATAAATATCGTAAAAGAACGAATAACGAATATATATCGTAAAACGAATATATACCGTAAAGTGAATTAAATTTCAGTCAGACGTGCGCAACTTTTAAAAGTTTTTATATTATTTTGAAAGCATATTTGTTTAATTTGATAAAGAAGTAAATTAAAACTATATGCAGTCGCGAATCTATATTATATAAAACGCCAATACGTACGTATGTATCAATAAAACCGATGATATTTCTTTTCTCACGTTGGCAACAGTTTTCATTTTTAATTGATAGGCTTCGGCGCGCAAGTAGATGCGTAGTGAGCATCATATGGCTAATCTATATTATTTAAAACGCCAATACGTTTTAATTGATAGGCTTAGGCGCGCAAGAGCACGTAGTGAGCATCATATGTCTAATCGGGTGAATTCTCACCGAATTATCAAAAAAATTCTCACAAAATTATCTTCATCGAAGCCGATGCTTTACATCCGGCGTTCAGTACTATTTCATATTGTTTTACAACACATGGTTTTAGCCCTCTGGTGGGAAAGACTTTAAAACAAAACTTACAACAGTTACTTTTCTCAACAACTGAAATTTAGAATAGTGTGATTAAGAAAAATATGTGAACTGTTTGCAATTTCAAATTAATATTGAAATGCACAGGTTTAGAATTTTCTACAGTGAAAAGTTTTCGGAACTTCAGTGTTCAAAAAAGTAAACAAAAGCTAGACGTTAAGAACGTATCCAATGAGCGAGCAAAGCGAGCAATTTCGAACTGCGAAAGCAGTTTCGGGGGTTCGCGAGCGCCAGCGAGCAGGGGGCGAAGCCTCCTAGTGATTACTTAAAATTCAATGACCTTTTCTTAACTCGCAACGCAGTGTAGGTGCTTCACTAGAACAAGAATATTATTTAACACCACTTGGTTTAAAGTACCCATCACCAGTTTTTTTTTATTCAGCAGCACTAAAATTTATAGCAAAGTAAGTTATGATACGCCGTATCATCTACTTAAGAGTCAGTCAATTCATTTTTACGATACAGCATTGAAAAAAAATCATTAATTTAGGATGTATAAATACAATATTTCTTAAAATAATGATATCATGAAAATCATTAATTTAGGATGTATAAATATAATATTTGTTAAAATAAAATTAACTTATTAAATAAACCTTCACACGGCTGAAAGAAACTATTAACATGATTTCGAAACTGAGGTGAGTAGGAATTAAATATTATGAAATTATTTAATACAATTGAAAGATTTACTTAAGTCTTCTCATTAGAACATAATTATCCTCGTTTCTTAACAAAAATCATGCATGGCTTTTCATAATAATTCTGTTTTTTCTGTCCAACAATTCGCGTCCAACCTCATATGAGGCAAAATCAAACTAATTTATGCAAAGAGTACATGCAACTGAACTCGGTGTAAGCTAGTTTTTTGCAGCCTTTTAAAGTGAGTATAAACGCAGGATTCGTTATTAACTGGAAATAACTAGAGTTTTTCAACACCAAATTCGGATAGGTTTTTACAGAGTAAGAACTGTCTTTGGTTCTTGGTGTAATTAGACAAAGGAACCAAAAGTTATCAGTGATGTTTCACTGTGCCACTTTGACGCAAAGCAGATGCCACCGTTTTTGATGTAAAGATACATTTAAATTTTTTACAGTGTCACTTAACGCTATTTTTCGAAGATCGGTCGCCAAGCAAAATAAAAAAGCAACGGTTTAAGAGTCATGCACTTGAAGAAATGCGATGATTTTAAACTATATCATACCTGCCAACTATCACTCTTTCCGAGAATTGATTTTCAGAGTGGTTGTAAAACAATGAACGAAAAACAATCTGACTATTTTGACCCCATTGAAATTCGCTTGTGCATGGATTATTATGCTTTTATATATTTATTGTAATTATTTATATGTAGTGGTGATCAAACTCATTTATAATTATCATTATAATTCAAAAAGTTAATTGGAATAACATGAGTATTGCTACCACTTTAAATATGAAAATAAAATCTTCCGGAAAATCCGGAAGAGTTGGCAGGTATGTGTCTTCTTGCCGTGAGGAATTATCTGGATCTTAGAACGGGCATATAACTTAAATATTTTAAAAGTTATTAAATATTCCTAAAAAACGACAATTTGGTGGCATTTTCCCACTTAGACCAAAATTATCAATATCACCGTTAAATCTGTCGAGTCTCAAAGTCCTCCATGTTCCCATAACAAATCAATACCTCTGGGGGTACCGATCCAGGAGTTTCCTTGTCTTCTGGATTGGTTCAAAATTACAAGGCTACGGCGTTGAAAATTTGTAGTCGTAAACCCAAAAATTGGGTCGACTGTTCAACGGCGGTCATAAAATAAAATATCACCGTCTTATTCTCCGTTTTGATATTTTTTTTGACCCAGGTAATGAAGTATTGGAGTAAGTTTTTAAATATTAAGAAATTCAACCTCAAATTCTTTTAATTTTCGCAAAACTGTGGCTTTTCTTCATATTGACGTTTCAGATCATTTTCAAAGTAAGCACAGACAACGTTGGCTAAACGTGACCTAACAGTTATGAGAAACTGTTTCATACTCACAGCAGTTATGAAAATAGCATATTATTTTCAAAAAAACATCGTTTTATTTAATAACGGAGGCTTCTTAAAACAGCTTTAAGATGTTTTACAGTTTGGAAAAGAGGAATGAGGTTTCACGATATTGAAAACGGGGGATAGATAATAAAATATTGGTGACCATTGGTTAAAGGATTTTAACGATGTAATGTTTAGTTTTTCTCTTTTAGCACATTTTTTTCAGCATTCTTTTTATGCAGTTTTCAAAAAATAAATCACTTATTTTTTTAGTTACTAAACCTTTCTGAAGATATGTTCGTATAAATATAAAAACTTCGAATAAACCTTTTTACCTATTATTTTTAATTTTTTTTCGACAGCCATGGCAGGAGTCCACAAAGTGCGATATGAACAAGAACCACCGGAAAGACGAATGGGAATTTTGGGTGGTAAGTAAAGTGTTTGTGCAACTTAACAGTTATCAAATGAAAATAGAATTTTTCGTATTTCAAATAAAATAAAGTATTTTAAATTTTATTTCCACTTAATCATTAGATTGAACTTAGTACAGTAAGAGATCTGATATAAATCTCTAACCCGAATTCCGCATCAAGCAGTTTCGTATTTATCAGATGTGTTATTGTCTTACATGCATAATATCAAATTGTTTAATTTACGAATAAATTAAAATATAGCAAAAATGAAAATTTAACATTGCTTTTAAAAATTTGCCAACCTTTTTAAAATTTATGATAATTATATAACAGTGTTTTCTGTACCACCTCGACTGTTACAAACAAATGTAGGCCAATCGCTAACGCCCCTTTTTTACTTCAAGCGAGTTTTTTATTAATATTTATTTTTTCTCCAAATGTTTTAATATTTTTGTAATTTACACGTGATGTTGCTGATATTTAGTTTTTCACGTAAGCATTATTTATACTCCCCATTTCCTTTGTCAAAACAAATAGGTAATTCAATTAGTTAGGCGATCCGAAATAGTTTCCGGATGTCTAAAAAGTCCCCGAAGGTATGAAAAATCAATTACAAAAATAGAAGAAGACAGAAATACAAATTAAGTCATATTCTGCTTACGAAACTGGGATTTTTAAGCAAATTTCAAGCCTAGTTATGAAGTTTGTCAACAGATGGCAGGAAACATGACTGGATGGATGGTAACAGTATATTCCTGCACGAGGAGGCTGTTAATTTTGTCCTACTGCACTGCATCATTGCTTCAAATGGTATCTTTTTTAAAAACATTGTTTCATAGTTTTACTGAATTAGGAGTGCCATTTAGTAACGAACTTTGTATTTTTTTAAACAGTTTCCCGCAGAAAATACGAAAGATTGAATCGAACATTTCACTCCTTTTCATCTTTTGATTTTTGAATAATTTGAACTGATTTTTCAAATGGTTAAATCGGTAAAATTAAGTAAACTTCCAACCACCGCAATTGATTAAAACACTAGATGTATTATGGTACAAAATAGGCTTTTCATATTTTTTTTTTAAAATTTCTATCTATTTTACTTTTTAGTGAAAAGAAATAAATGTTTTAACTGGAAACAACCCTATCCTTATTTTATTAATATAATATTCGTATATTTTTGGATGTGTTCATTATTTACCTGATGGATTATTGCTGCTCTTTTTTTAAGTTATTACAAATTTTTTAATGCACTATCATTTCCTTTTTTTTAGGTATCAAAGAAATGGCTGATGATATACTCAGTACTGCCGGAGTTCACAACCAATAATTTGATTGCTAATTGTTGGAATTTTAGCCGTAAAAAATGGGATTTCCAAAAAAAATTAAAAACATAGTGTAATCTAAAAAGTTTAAAATAAAGACTAATTCAAACTCTTTTGTTTAATGTTTGTCAAGTATGCATTATACAGGGTCTTTATAATTAAAGTTACACTTTGAAATGGCTATAAAAATAAAACTACCCGACCAAATGTCATCAAACTTGGTAAATGTCTATAAGAGGTCATGGGATTTTAGTTCCCGCAAAAAAAAAAAATAAAAATAAAATTTACCACCAGCGAAGAAAGGCGCTGTAGGCAACAGTGTTAAACAAATGTGAAATATGCAAATTTGTTTTACACGTCTTTTACCGTAAATTTGCCGTAAACCTTGCTGTGTCATTGGACCTCGCCGTTTTCCTCATACAGTACGGAACTTTTGTAAAGCCCTCCGTTCATTGCTGTCGCATTCATAGCGACGTTTCACGAGCAAAGCACGGTCTTGCATGGTATCAAACATTGTCGACTCAGAACAGTGACAGCTCAGACAAGGCGCGTCACTTTTATAACTGCAAAGTCACATGACGTGTAAAATAAATTTGCATATTTCACATTTGTTTAACACTATTGCATACAGCGCCGTTCTCCGCTGGTGGTGAATTTTTGAACTTTTTTTTTGTTGCGGGAACTAAAATCCCATGACCCCTTATAGACATTTACCAAATGTTATGACATTTGGTCGGGTAGTTTTATTTTTATAGCCATTTCAAAGTGGATCTTTAATTATAAAGACCCTGTACTTACCACCATAGTAACATTTATTTCTAAAGTACATTTATTATGTTTATTAAGAAATTCACTATTACATAAAATTCTAAGAGAATAATGGTATACTTCAAGTGTAATCTGCCTACTTTAATTGAAAAACAAATTCAAAGACAAAACACCAAACACTAGACGTCAGAACAATGATCATCAGCTGTAGCTACATGTAGTCTAGCTACGTATTTCAGTTTTTCGGGTCATAATCAAGGACAACAAACAATTTTTTTCTCGGTTATTGCTGCGGAAAAAAGAAAAGTCTTTTTTTTTTACTTTTAGAGATTAAACGATTAATTCTAATTAAAAAAAATACTTCGTAGTATTTTTTTATAGTTTCTATCACAGATGTCCATGCACTCCGATTTGAGAGTAATTTTTTTTTTTCAGTGACAGCAAAATTTACAATTTAACCTTTTGCATTCCGAGCTGTTTGAACTAATGTTGACACCAAACTACAACCTAGAATATTTCGAAATAATTTCTACTATATGTACTACCACACGTTAAGTCATTAAATCATTAAAAAAAACTGTCGCAACGTTGCTTTGGGTGTTTAAATTAAAGTTACATTTTGTTTTGCTGCACAAAAACTATAAGAAGATTATATGTGTAGATGAGTTTTCAAGGGTCACGATGAATTTAATAAGATTAACAATCATTAATAATTAATGCGACAATAATTAACTATTAAACTTGGTAGAAAAAACCCATACAGAACGCACAGCAGGCAGCAGAAATACAACTACAGAGGAAAAATTTGTTAAGATGTTTATGAACTTGACGCAGAGTTTTCTTTTCGAACTTCGAAAGTTAATGCCATTTTAATCGCTTTTTTGCAATTTTTCTCCCACCACTTTTTTAAATTTTTTTTTGTTTTGCTTTCAGTTACATTTTGTTTCGTTGTTCTAATTCAATAAGAATTCGAAAGTTTAAATCAAGAAAGTGTGTCGAAAAAGATACAGGAAGTACGATAGAATAAAAAAAATTCCTACTTGAAAATTAATTCGAATTTAGTTATCTGATACTACGTGCTTATTTTGTTCATACTTTTTAAAACGTGTTTCTATAAATTTAACCCCTTGGGGACGGTTGATTCAGAAAAGCATTCGTACAAAATCAGAATCAAGTTGTAATTAAATAAAAAACGGTAACTTAAATGTAGTCGTTGCTAATTTGACAGACTTACTTTGCTTTTNATCCCGGAGGATGATCCGAAGACATGCCATCACATTTTTGATCCTCTGCGGAGGGGATGGCACCCCCGCTTCGGTAGCCCGACGACCTGCGCGCGAAGTCGAGCACTTTACGGTAGCACAGTTTCGTAATAATTCGTTAAGGAGAAATATAAAAAATCACCATATTATTATTGACGCGTAATTAATTGAATGTAATATATGTATATTGAAATACAAGAAATAAACTATGTGCAAAAAAGCTTAAGTAATGGATTAAAGATATTTAATTCTCTATAAGAACCGAAAGAAATCGTCATAGTATCTACAGTCACTAAATCTTATACACTGTATCTTATGTACGAAAAAGCAAAAATAATGCAGAAAAGATGCTTTTTCATTTTTGAGAGCCATATTATTATTAGCACTAATGCTTTAATAATATTGATAATATGTATTAATTTTATTGAATAACCATCGTTGAACAGTCGACCCAATTTTTGGGCTTACGACTATTAATGTTCAACTACAAGAAATAAGCTACCTTGTAATTTTGAACCCGATCCAGAAGACAAGGGAATTCCTGGATCAAGTATTGGGAGAAATTTTGCCTTCATGGAGGACTTTTTGATGGAACTAACCCGCGTTTGCGTTAGATGGAGCGGAAAACTTCCCACGGTTAACCTGATGGCAAGGGAACTCTAACCCATGTTCCGACTACCACGTTAGAGGATATTTCTTGTTAGCACTGTGGTCTGCGCAAGCTAAATGTGAAATTCATATCGACCAGCCATCGTCAGGATTCGAACCCGATTCTCCTCATTGGAAGGCAAACTATCTATCCCCTGAGCGATCGCGACATCATTATATATATATA